AAAGAGTGTTGCGTTATATCTGTCTCTGATTGGTTCCTTGGTCCTCCTTTCTGTGGTATTTGATGAAAATGATATTCGTGTTGCTATTAAATTTTGAGTTATAAATGTATAAAGAATTATAAAAGCGAAGACCATAATATACGTGCAAACGGCCCATTGTTAAATAAAGCCCATCAATGGTCAGAGCTTATATAGCATTTATAAATGTTTCAAAGCCCCACCAATTGGTCATTCATGGGGTCCTTGCCATACGACGGCAGTGCCACGCGCATCCTAAGAGATTGAAACACACGCGATACCCTTGTCCAGCCCTTTTTTTTAAGGCCGATTTGGAATTGTCAACGTATGAGAGTGATGTCCTATCCTGTCCTGTCCTGCCTTCTTTATGGGTTTGGCCACACGTCTATTCTATTTTGTTACACTATTCGCCGTTGACTTTTACTCCAAGATGACAGAATCATGATGTTTTCCATCAATTATATAAAGCTTGGACCCTTTTTTCCGTAAGACTCAAAAGGGCTTATCCAATTTTTTCCCAACATATTAGTCCAGTCACCATAACCCCATATAGTAACCAAAACCCGTATAATATTTTTCCAAACGAAGCTCGATCGGTAATTTCAATGAGCCAACCCCACTGTATCTAACTTCGTATCAATTTCAGATTTTCATCTATCATATTATGCTCCAAATTTTGCAAAGATTTGGACCCACCCATTTTTTTCACGTACCAAACTTAGGTCTCTTGGCCCTCGGGGCCTCCGCCTCCATATGGGACGACCCCCAAAGCTTCGGACCGTCGCCATGCATGAACGTGCAACGGTCACCGAGCCTACACCCTCTCTTGCTCCCGAAATACATGCACGGTTTCTGTTTCTTACCCTCTTCTACTACGTTACCATCACCAGCCCTTGTGTTGAATCCTCTGCTTTGTAATCTATACTCATTCGTTGTTTCTGCATTATCCTTCCCATGTTCCCTGATTAGGTTCTTGAAATAGTCTACGCTCTTCACAGGTGGTGGCGCACCCAGTTCCTGTTTAATCGGTACCTCTACCCGGTTCAGGTTAAAACCGGATTGAAAGCCTGGCTTCGGTCCTGGTCCTGGTCGTGGTCCTGGTCCATGCCCTACAGATGCTTGCACCACATTCATACTCATAGTGCTGAAAGGGGAATGAGATTGGGGCTTTACTAACCGGTTCGGTTCTGGGAGTGCTTCAACCGGGTTAGGATTCATCGGCAAGGTAGAGAAACCGGGTTGATGTCTGATTGAAGGTTTAGCTCCGGCAGAAACTGGTACGCCACCAAACACAGGTGGAGGTCTTTGGAGGTTAAGGCTATGTGGGGCGAGCTGACAGACCTGAGCGGGTTTGAGCAGAGGTGTTTCGATAGCTACACTGGTACAGGGCACTACTGACATTGATCCACCATGCGAGTTTCCATTCCCGTACCTCGGAGGTGACACTCTTGGGGGTTCAGGGGAAGTGAAAGGCGTCTGTTTCATAGGTAAAGGTTGTGGGGTTCTATCCACAGCTGAATTGTGGACATGCTTGGGATCATGTCTGGGGGTGATGTCAGTGTCTAGAGGAGGATTCTCGGCTTCAGATGGCTTGTCTATCCTTTCACTGATCAGATTCTGAATGATTTTCGGGTCACTGAGGAATTTGATGAGTAGATCAGGGTCTATCATGCTTTGATGCTCCTTCGACTTCGTCAGTGCGGTCAGACCTGCAGAAACGGCCAGACTCACATCTGCCCCACGTGCAGAAACTGTTGCATGAACTGGTCCTTGAGTGGAACTGGGAGGTCTGGTTTCTAACGGACATTGCCTGCTCATAGTGTTGTCAGATTGTAGGGGAGTTTGAGAAGATTTCTCAGCGGCCTCCCACTCGTCTTCAATGGGAGTGAGACGGATGATTGGAGTTTTTCTGTCATCATAGCATTCGCCTTCGACATCAGGCGTAACAGAGGAACTGCTTGAAACATCGGGAGAACAAGATCAGTGGTAAAAAGATGACACAATGCAGCATGATGAGACCCCAAAACGTAGAATAACCTATTATCGTATGACAAAAATGAGAGATTAATACCGATAAGGGATGGCGGAGCGATGTGGATAGATAGCTTCCAAGACCTTTGCAATCCTCAAGTTTTGAGTTTGTCTCTCTGTGCTCTCTTGACCAGCTCCAACCCGCCATGAAGGGCTGAGGACAAACTGTCCAGTGTAGGAGACAAGTGAAACAAGACAGTCAATTTCCGAGATAAATTTCATGTAAGGGTGAAAAGAATAAGAGCATCACTATTATACCTTTGAAGGATACCTCCATTTGAGACGAGGGATGTCTGAGAGATTTGATTCAAAACCAGGAGGAAGGTCAGGCACAGGAGATTTTCTTGATGAAGCAACTTCAGCAGGGCAATCCTCAGACGAAAACAACTTGACCTAACCCATAATCATCCTAAACATGGTTAGCAGCAGACCAGTTTGCATTACCCATCTAACTTCGAACTCTTCACCCTAACTGTAATAAAAGTATGCATCGGTTCCTGATTCTACATCCACACTTTGTGGAAGATACTCTCGTGTGTAAGTGGAATGACGGTGGTTCCACTGCTTCAGGACTGAAAAACTTCCCCACGTTTATCACATTGCTCAATTGTTACAAAATGACACGAGTTGAAATCACCTCCCATATTCAGAAACAAGTTTCTCCATCTCAAAATTCCTCACTAAGAGTATCCCGATGCATTAGCCAATTGTCACAAATTCTATTACCAGAGTTTTATTCTTCTTCCAGGTTTAAGATTAAGACGTATTAGTCATACCATTTTTCTTAATCTTGTCTTTAATCAACATATACCATCCCCCACTTCAACATTCCATATGAATCAATTTTAAAACCGATTAAAAATCACAGCTTTTATTCCGGATCTACCAATTTAGGTTAGGTTTACCGTTTTCAATAATACCCAGATTCAACGTCCGACCATGAATTTTTTTTAGGGTTAAGCCGATCGTACGTTTTCCAACGAATAAGAATTTGACCACTTTTCGTATAACTTCAAATCAAAAAAAAAACTCGAGGAAGAAAAGAAATAAACAGAGCGTTCGAAATATCGAAGCCGTAACGGAAGATGGCGGTTGCTATACCTGACAAAGCAAAGGATCTGGTGGCCATGAAACCCTGGATTTCTTCAATTTCTTCATATTATAACCAAATATCTCAATGAATCGACCAAAAGGAAAATCGAATTTTTAAATCTACCAATAATCCTATATCAATCGATCAATCCGTTTCGAGAGACTTGACCAAGTTGAGTACCGATGCGATTCACGAGGCGCGTGAACCAGCGAGGAGGAGGAAGAAGACGGATGAGACGACGGCGAGAAGATGTGTGAGATAAAAACCCTAGAAGTTTCCGTCTTTTTTTTTGGGGGAAGAGGCGGATTTTTTTGACGTTACGGTACTGAGGAATTTTATTTATATAAATATAAATAATAATTTCCAAAAAGGGATAAGGAAGCGACGCGAACATTAAGCCTCATGAGCTGGACCTGATGATGGCATATTAATTAGATACGTATTTAATCATTAATAACGTTGTGTTAACGTACGTACTTACTTATTGTAGAGGAAATATATTTATACATATATATATATATATATTATTTTCAAGTTTCCTAACTAAAACATCATTCGAAATCTCAGGTTTCACAGAAAAAACATAATTCGAAAGGTATGTCACGTCATAACTGTCACGACACAATAGTTTATAGGTTAATAACTTCAAAGTATAAGGTTTTATTGATCAATTAGATTAAATTAAAGGTTAATTTGGTAAAAAGATTTTTTTAGTTGATATGAAAGTATACAGAATTTTTTTTTTACGATGGCCCTTATTATTATTATTGGGGTTCCCGTCATCTTGCCAAATGATCAAACTAAGTAACACCGTTTTCAAGCTCTCACATCACCCATCCAAAAAAGAATTCGGAGCTCACGTAAAAACAGGGCTGGTGTCGAGCTCGTATCAGCGTCTTTGCCGCACGCTTTCGCTCGCACTTTTTCCACCCAATTTCGTCACCGACACGATCTGTCTTGAACCATCCAGATCCCAGGACCATCAATGGCGTCCAAGAACGATGGCTCTATATCCGACTCCTAACGTAAATTCCTGCTTCTAAAGACATGAGGTGAACTGATGTTCTTCCTCATCTCTCTTCCTTAAATCTTTCATGGCGCATATATATTTGTCCACATACACATATATATTGATCGGATAACGTAATGTTAATTTTGCATGCATGAGCAGATCAGGTTCAGAAGTTGTCACCGTCAGGATGGCTCGTACCTGACGGAGTTCCTGCTATGCTGAGGCTGCAGCAAGAGAAGCTGGGCGGACGATCACATCGTAGCCAGCCCTGAAAGGCAAAGGAGTTGCGGCGGAAGCTGAGAGATTGGAGCTCGCCATGAGGGAGGAAGTTTTATGGCACAAAAAGAAACCCAGAAATCACACAAGAGAGCCAAGTGAACAGCTTTCAAAAGGCAAGAAAAGGCAAGAAAAGGCAAGAAAACTGAAGATACGCAGCCAAGACCGACCACGACGAGTTTAGGAGTCCCCTCTTTCTTTCTCCTTTTCTTTTCACTAGATGTGTTCTACTTCCTTATCATTATCATATTTCTTTGCAGAATCACAGGGAACAGAAGATATTGTATTGTTAAGCGTATTCCAGTAACGAATTTATCGCTAAGGAATCACTCCACCCCATCGTCTTTAGAGCTCGGATTAGTGTTTATACTGACCGAGTCAGGTGATTCAAGAGTGAAAGGTGGGACCATATCCCTTAAAGATTCCGGCCCTTCTGAAGCAATTCTCTGGCACAATGCATTGCAGTTGCTTATAACCTCAGTTAACCTTCCTTTAAGCTCCCCCAGCTCCACCTGCAAAGCATGAACTGCAAATATATCCCGACTTTAAGTTTGCAAAAACCAGCATCAGATTCACCAATCCGTATACACCGAAAGAATCCGAGTACCTTGAGATAAATGTTGGGAAGTTGCTCTCATTGCAGAAACCGAATGATTAAACCTCTGCAGAAGTTTAGTTGTCAAAGCATCTGCAACTTCTATCTTGTTTTCTACATCTTCCTGCAAACGAGATGGGATTTCAAAAGTAAAAAGAAAGCGGGGAAAAAGAAAAGCTAAAGATTGGCTTGGTGGGGATTCACTCAGACTTGAGCACAGTGCCTCCAGAAGTATAAAGTCTAAAATTAGATTCTCTGGCAGGAGCATCATTTATTTTGTTGCACTTACACTTACAGACCAAAATGTCAAGATTTACATGATCCCTACGGCCTTATCTGGACGACTAATCCATGACAAAGACATCCTATTTCATGGTTATTACAAATGAAAAAGAAAAGGCATGCAGAAAGACCTGTCTCTTGCTTATTTCCTGAGCTTTACTCTCTTGCCATTCTCGATAAATGGAGAAGAGCTCTAGCAACACTTGAGGATCAACCGTATCTGGTAAACAGTTGACAAGAACAGGGTGAAATTAACGCCATACAAGATGAGGGCAAACAGCTTGTTCAACAAAGACGAGCTATTTCAATGCTTAGGTAAACATAATAACCGAAATAAGTCAAATTCAGCCATTCCTTTGCTTGAATATCCAGTAACCTTTAAATGACACATGATAAGATATGAGAAATGAAGGCGACAATGACCAAAAGCTTTTCAAACCCACAACAAACGTGCTGGGAACATCTTGGAATCTAGAAGAAGCGCAATGAACCATATAGAAAATGAAACAGACCCATAAGAGCAGATGATTCCCTTGGAGCACTCTCTCTCTAGAACCCACAACCCATTGTTCGAACAGTAGTTTGCCTATATAGAACGAGGATAACCAAGGGAATCCTCAAGACTACACTAAAATCTTGCACATAATGAAATGCGACCAAGGATTTCATAGCTAAATGAAAATGTGGTACAGGACTCATGCATTGTGCATGAGTATGAAATCAGCAGAAACGAGTAAAGATCAAACTCACTGGATGACGAATTCGACAAGGCTTTTCTCACTAAAATGTCGGTCAGGCTGCTCTCCGAGGGAGGAGGAGACTTCAGTATCGGCGTAGTCTGCAAATATATTTTCATGGCAAAGAAAAACACCAACACAGTTTTCACAGATCGATATTGATTCCCAACACCGGAACGGTGAGAAAGGAAAGGGTAAAACACCATGAAGAACTCTACAGTTCTACTGACTAAAAATAACGCATATGAATTAAGAAGTAACTTACAATTTTGAGGGATTTGAGATTCTCTAGAATGGGATCAACAGCTTCGGATCGGTGAGAGATTGTGGTTATCTCATCTCCTGCTCTCTTTTCATGGAAATTCATCAAATCTCAACAAAATTATTTCAGAAAAAAAAATCGGAAAATCAACCCATGCTGAAGAATCAAATCTCCAAACAATCATTTACCTGAGCGCCTAAGAGAGTTGAATCTGATACCCCCATGTTGTGAGAAAACCCGAACCGAAAGGAATTTTATCTATCTTTCGATTCAACAATTTCAAATTCGATTAATTCTGGGAAATGTGTGTATGAAGGGGATGAACTGCTCCAAGTCGCCCGAGGAGAGAGAACGATATGACGTTTCGCGCATTCGCAAGCGAACATCGTGCCATGTTACATCCTCCAATATCGCGGATCTTAAACAGCAAGGTGTTTTCAAACAGGATATGAAAACGGCAGCTCGCTCGAGGGCCCGGGGGG